TATGCAAATTATTTAATATATTCGTCCACATGAAAAATCTATTAATATCATTCAATTATTTTAAAATGTCATCTTAAAGATGCAATATGAATGAAAAAATAAATTTTGTTTTTTTGGTGGCATGTCGAGAACAAAATATAATTATAATTTTTGTATACTAACATTATCTAATATTTGGCAGAAGAATTTAGATTCAAATTGACGACAATGTAATCAATGGTTAGATGCTTTCATAGTCAATTAGTGTTCAATTCAGATACTTGATACTTGAAATGCCACAATTGTTCCTGCCAAAAAAGGTTATGCAAATCTTTATGCAAATTATTTAATATATTCGTCCACATGAATGGGTACAGGTATTGATCACAATGTCAACAATATAAATTTTAAAATACAATTATGCAGGTTATTTTGCGAAAGTTGATTTTGGCATTTAAAGGATTAAGATGTGTTCTTCAGTCAGTTTCCAGTATAGAAGCCTCATCTGACATTCCATTGTCCACTAACAGGTCATAAAGAAAACCAACTGTTGCATTGGTGTCTGGCGCCCAGGTTTGTAGCACATTTTCCATTGGTGTTTTTTCATTTTGTTTCCACAAGGAAATTAGATTCTGTGGAATACCCAACTTTGATGCAACCAATCGCCAGTCACGACCTGTTTAGAGAAAGAGAAGCAACACTTAAACTTTTAATCTTGGGTGATGAGAGTCTGTCTAATGCTATATTTAACATAACTATAGCTGCCTTTAAATTGTGAAACGAAAGACTTTCAGATTGATCTGCACATTAATCAGTCTGTCTCTTTGTGTTGATGTATCCATCATGCACACAGGTTGATAAGATCCATATATACACACCATTTTGGTGGGAGATAGATGAAATAAGAATACAAATAAAAACAAAGCAGAAAAATATGATTGGTTTCATTAATGAAAGCAATGTTGTCTCTGAACTGAGTCTTCTCAGATCCCATTTATTTCTTGTATCAGGTTTCTCAGTTTTCAATTCCATATTATTCCTTTGATTATTTTTTGTTCTATTCTATTCTATTCTCACCGTTTTCTTTTTGGACGCTTAATTCTAAGACCAGTTTTTGCCACAAATCATATCCAATATCTTTAATTCTTGTTGATCTTTCCAATTTGGGCCCTGCAATGCAAATATGTAATATGTACAGTCAATACCTAACCATAATGTAATCAAGGTCAAGAT